CAATGACATTCCCAGGGTTTCTCGGAATCCCCCCGGGGCTTGGTCACATCCCCAAACAGGACATGAGCTACAGACAGCTCTGACATTTTAACAAGTGTGCTGAGCCATTGAAAATAAACAAACCCCCAGGCTGCTCCCATCCCTTAAGCAGGGAATCATGGAATCTCAGAGACAGAGGACACTTGGAGGTCGTTCCGTCCCAACTCCTACCCAGGACAGACATTCTCAGGCAGGGGCTCACAGCGCTGCCAAGAGAAGGAGCCCACGTTGACACAGCTTAATCCAGTTTGAAGCAGACCTCGCTGTGAGCTGCTTCTTCCTGAGACTGAGCTCCAGATCAGCCTCCATGTGACTTGGCTTCTGTCCTGCCATGGGACACACACACACACACACACACACACACACACAGTCTGATCGCTTATCCCCATGAACATGTTCAGCTATTTAAATGTCGCTATTACCTCCTTCCCTCCACTCCCTCCAAATGTTTTCTTTTTCCATCTAAATGTCTTAGAGCACCTCACACATTTTTTAAAAAATCATTGTATTGGGGCTTATCACAATCCATACACACATCCATTGTGTCAAGCACGTTTGTACATTTGTCACCATCGTCATTCTCAAAACATTTTCTTTCTACTTGAGTCCTTGGTATCAACTCCTCATTTCCCCCCCTCCCTCCACCAACCTCCCTCCCTCATGAACCCTTAATCATTTATCTTTTTTTTTTTTTATGTCTTACATTGTCTGATTTCTCCATTCACCACTTTTCTGCTGTCCATCCCCCCATGGAGGGGGTTATGTGTAGATCATTGTGATTGATTTCCCCTTTCTACCCCACCTTACCCTTACCCTCCTGCTATCTCTACTCTCATTATTGGTCCTGAGGGGCTCATTTGTCCTGGAGTCCCTGTGCTTCCAGCTCTTATCTGTACCAGTGTACATGATCTGTCTAGTCGGATTTGTAAGGCAGAATTGGGATCATGATAGTGGGAAGGAGGAAGCATTAAAGAACTAGAGGAAAGTTGTATGTTTCATCAGTGCTATACTGCACCCTGATTGGCTTGTCTCCTACCTGCAGCCCTTCAGTAAGGGAATGTCCAGTTGCCTACAGATGGGTTTTGGGTCTCCACTCCACACTCCCCCTCATTCACAATGATATGATTTTTTGTTCTTTGGTGCCTGATATCTGATCCCGTTGACACCTCGTGATCACACAGGCTGGTGTCCTTCTTCCATGTGGGCCTTGTTGCTTCTCAGCTAGATGGCCACTTGTTTATCTTCAAGCCTTTAAAGCCACACATGCTATATCTTTTTATAGCCAGGCACCATCAGCTGTCTTCACCACATTTGCTTATGCACCCACTTTGTCTTCAGAGATCATGTCATGGAATGCTAGTTTAATAGAACAGTGTTCCCGCATTGAGGGAGTACTTGAGTAGAGGCCCAATGTCCATGTGCTACCTTAATTCTAAGCCTATAAATATGTGCACATAGATCTATTTCCCCATCATCATATATAAATATATTTACATATGTACATTCCTGTATTTAGACCTCTATAAATGTCCTTTGCTAGTTCTTTCCTCTATTTCCTTTTTCTTTCCTCTTGTCCCACTATCATGCTCAGCCTTCATTTGGGTTTCAGTAATTCCTCTCGGTCCCATTGCCCTTGATCAAGCCCCACCAAGCCTCCTACACCTTCCTCACCATTGATTTTGGATCACTTGTTCCCTTGTCCCTGGGTTTGTTAACACCCACTTCCTTTTCCCTGCCTCCCCCTCTCCCATGTCCCCCGGAACTGTCGGTCCAATTGTTTTTTCCTCCAGATTGTTTCTCCCACCTATCTTATCTAGATAGACCTGCAGAGATAATAATATGCACAATAAACAAGAAAGCAAAACAAAGCAACAAAACAAAACAACGACACAAAAAAAAATCAAAGAAAAGCCTGTAAATAGTTCAAGGTCTGTTTGTTGACTTTTAGGAGTGTTTTCCAGTCGAGTCTGATGGGATATCATGCCCTGGCCCCAAAGTCTATTTTTGGGTTCCCTGGGGACTTCCTTGCTCTGCTCCCCTGGCTGTTCTGTTGCACACCCTCAGTGTTTCGCCTCAGTGCAGTGGGTCAGAATGGTCGCAATTCCCGTACTGTCTCCAGTGTTGTCCCCCATA